AAATCCAGTCACGTTACCAAGTCAGAATTGGGAAGGTTATTGAAAGGGGTTAATGATTGTTATCGTTCATGAAATCTGCTAGATAAGCTAGTTTTACGGGAATAATTACTGTAGGATGTGTAATAAAGGGGGGAATCATATGTTAGTTGTTCTCCCTATTTGGTTTCGCTATTGCTCGCCGAATTATTAGTAGGCCAGCTTTCTCGCTAAGCATAAGTGTTTAGAGAGTCTTTATTAAACATAAGATAATAACCAAATAGTAAAGAAGGATTTAGTTACCTTTTTAGCAGTAAAATGTCTGCGATTGGTTGGACAAAATTGACGTTAAGCGAATTGAGAAATTTGTGCTTATCGTTTGGTTTGGAGTCACAGGGAAATTAAGAGGAGTTAGCAGAGAGGATAAATGCGCATTTTAGTTAATTGACGTTGGTGGCAGTGAAGAAAATAAATTGCCTGATTCAATTGCAAATCGAAGTGTTGCTGGTGATGATGATTGGTTCGAAAGAAGCAGGAACCTTGCTTACAGAGATGAGGAACCCCTAGAACCGGGAATACATGGTGATAATGATCCCGTTTTGAAAGGGCAAGCTGGAGAAAGGTATGAGGATTTACACGTTAGTAGGAAAGGGAAAGAGAGAATGAGTGTGGTAAATCCTATAGAAGAGTGTAGTCAGCACATAACTGGGAGAGAAAAACAAAGGACCGAAGAGATGGATGCAATATCTGTGAATGCGTTTCTTTCGGCTCTCAATAAGATCGAAAGGAAAATGGACCATAATTTCGAAGTACTTCAGAACCAGCGCTCAAAAGAGACAGAACAGGAGAATCAGTTAGACGAAGCATGGCCAAAAATCAGATTAAATAAGCCTAGAGACCAACACGAGTATGATTTCTTGATTGGAGTGGGGAAAAGACTTGATATAGCAATAACAAGATTGTTAGAACACGATCGGAAAGAGTTGGTAATGGTTAGGGATGATATTGAGGCACCTGCTGTTACACTTCGCTTGGCAAATGATAGGGGATGGAAAGTGGCGCTTCAAGTAGTTGGGGGAAATGATAGGATGATGGAAAAATATAAAGACCAAATTGGGACCGCAACAAAGATGTCTTCTGCGGGTAATTGGGGATTTAATAGGAAGTTTTTTTTATAAAATCGTATTCAAAGAGGAAGTATAGAGAATCATCAGTTGTATCCTCTTCTGAATCTGAATTTGGGGAAAGAAAGCCGACCTCCTATGGTAGATCAAAGAGGAGAAAGAGTGATTTTTCCTTTCGTGACAGAGAAGCCTATAGGAAAAGTAATTCATCAAGGTTGGTCACGTGTTACAACTGCGGAGGAATCGGCCACATCTCCCCCAACTGTCCCTCTGTTAACCCAAGATCATCATCATTATCATCAAAGCAAAAAGCCAGACAGGACAACTGACAACACTCGGGGAATATGCAAATAAAAAAGGGAGTGAGTATAGTGAAGACCAGTATAGATCAATCGGTAGTTGGAAGAATTCATACAAAGTCAGCTCGGGAATATTGGCGTCGAAAAATAAAGCCGTCTCAAGTGATTTTGGATTGGTTAGAGCATGGAGTTCCCCTTTGGCCAAAGGGAGTTATGTTATTAGCAGCAAAGTCAGACCCAAGACAATACCCTTTAACTACGAAGCAAACAGAATGGATCAAGAAGGAGTTAGTGCGATTACAGAGTACAACGGCTATCAAATGTTTAGGAAATCAAGAAAAGCGTCCAGAATTCCTTCTGGAGGTAAGCCCAGTCTTTCTTGTACCAAAGAAGGGTCCAAAGCAATGGAGATTAGTAATCGATTTAAGGCGGTTAAATTTGACGTTGCCAGAGAAAAGTTTCGTTTCGAGGGTTTAGGAGGATTTTTGCGCACAATCAGGAAGAATTGGTATGTAGTAACAATGGATCTGAAGGATGGATATCATCACATTATGATGACAGGATATGCACAACGTTTTCTGGGGTTCAGAGTGTTGGAAAATTGGTACCATTACAGGGTACTGCCGTTCGGTCTGTCGCAAGCTGTCTGGGTCTTCTCAAAAATAATGAGAGCAGTTATTGGTCATTGGAGGTCCCTGGGCATTTGTTGTGGAAACCATGTCGACGATATATGGGTGGCTCATTACGACAAACAAGTACTGGAACATATAAGGGATACGATAATAAAGACAGACCTAGAAAGTTGTGGTTTTGTAAGAGAATTAAGAAAGGGTCAGTGGGAACCAACCCAGCAGCCAAAATTTTACGGGTTAGTTTTAGATACTTGCAAGGCAATAGTAGTCATTCTGGAAGAGAAAATTTTAGAAACACAGGAGGTGCTTCAAGAGTGTATAAGGATGGAGTCAATTTTAGTTCGTCGGTTGTCTGCAGTAGCAGGAAAGGTGCAATCTCTAAGCAGAGCTTTTGCCCATACAAGAGTACGTTGTCTAGAGTTCTACTCACTGATAGACACAATAAACAGAAAGCCATGGGAATGGGATGCACAAGTAAAATTAACAAATCAGGCCAAGGAAGACGTAAAATGGTTAGTACAGAACCTGAATACGAAGAATGGAAGGCCGGCTTGGAAACCTTCAAAAGTGAAGGTCCTTTACGTCGATGCCTCGACTATAGGTTGGGCAGCAACGTTCAGAGAATATCAGGCATTCGGAAATTGGGAAACGCAAAAGTCACACAAGGAAATAGCAAGATTGGAGGCAAGAGCAGTGATCCTGGGTGTAAAATCATTCTCAAAACTTCTAAGCCACTCATGGTTGGACTTGCATATCGACAATCGTGTAGCTCTAAGTACAGTAGTAAAAGGGGGAAAGCTTCCCTGGCAAAAGGCCCTGCTAAGGGAGTTTTGGAACCTACTCGACAAATACGACATATGGTTAAACGAAACCTTCTGGATACCATCAGTAGAGAACCCTGCCGACAGTTTAACTCGAATGGTAGACACATCCGATTGGAGACTTTCTTGGGAAGTGTTTGCCGATCTAGAAAAAAGATGGGGCCCACATACTGTAGACAGGATGGCAGACCATCAGAATACAAAGCTCTCAAGATTCAATAGCCACCTTTATTGTCCAGGAACCGAAGCTGTGAATTGCTTCACACAAAACTGGAAGGGCGAGAACAATTATATCTGCCCACCTTTAGGTCTAGTACACCGGGTACTACAACATATAATAGAGGGAAAGGCAACTGCGACAGTGGTTGTGCCAGAATGGGTGTCAGCGGAATGGTGGCCAGTTCTGTTGCAGCATCAGACCGACAGCATGAATATCCCACCACCATGGATTTCATTCGAGATGGGTTTGTCAGAGGAAGTGGAACCTTGAGAAACCAAAAATGGCGGTTTCTGGCAGTAAGAGTGAATTGATAAAAGTTCTGTTGAATAAGGCACAAAAGTTGGTAAGAAGTACATGTTCAGAAAATTGGAATAGTAGGCTAGATAAGGCATGGAAAACCTACGCGGATTTCTGTAGGATTACTAAACAGTGTGCTGTACCATCATCAGAGGAGTCTCTCCTATCATGTTTAATTTGGCTGGACTTAACTGATGCAGTCTCAGCTTGTACAGACGTGTTGGCAGCAGTTTCAAGAGAACATTTAGAGAGATCTTTACCCGACCCATCAAAATTTTATAATGTAAGGAAGGTTTCAAAGCATTAGTTAAGGAGGCAAGAAAGGACCATAAACCAGAATGGCCACGTGATCCACTGCCAATAATTGCATTGTGTAAGTTTGTTAAGGAAAAGCCAAGATTTGCAGATAAGAATATGTGGATACGTGATGCAGCATTAATTGCTTTGGGGCTACGCACAATGCGTAGGCCTGGGGAGCTATGTAATTTAAAGTTGGAAGATGTTAAGTTTGATGGGAAATTATGTTGGATACGAATTTGTAATTCAAAAACTGACCAGTTTTCGAATGGGAGGTTTATCCCTATTGAAATTGCAAACAGTGCTTGCTGCCCAGTCAGACTACTCAAAAAATACTTGTCAGTTAGACCAAAAACACCGGAAAGTTGGCCGCTATTCTTATCAAAAACTAAGAAAAAAATGACAGTGGGAGCAATCGGGGCTGTTGTTAAAAGGTTGGCAAATAATGCGCAACTGGTTGGTCGTTATACAGCACATAGTATTAGAATCGGGGGTGCGACAGCAGCAATGGAAGCAGGCCTGTCACTAACCCAGATTCGTGCGATTGGAGGATGGGACAGCAAAGCGGTTATGTTATACTTACGATCGTTAGGCACAGCACAAATGGGGGTGTCAAGGAGAATGGGATTTTGAAAAAAAAAAAAAAAAAAAGAAAAGAGGGAAGAGACATATCAATTCTCTTTTTGTCCCATATGTTTATTCCAATGTATATAGTTTATTAGCGTTCTAAATAAAGATATGAGTGATCGAGCAATAATAATGACTGGCTTGTCAACGAAGTGACAAGGCCAGCATTATTGCGAGAGCACGTGATATCGTGAAATCCAGTCACGTTACCAAGTCAGAATTGGGAAGGTTATTGAAAGGGGTTAATGTGCATGATTTATTTTCAAATAACGAGGAATCTGGGTACAATTACCAAGTTATAGGTGTTTGGAGGCACTATGCTATGAGAGAGCGAACCATATTCCCATATGTTTATTCCAATGTATATTGTTTATTAGCGTTCTAAATAAAGATATGAGTGATCGAGCAATAATAAATTGTTATTAGTGAAAATTTGGTTATGGCAATCAATGTATAGTTTTAAAATACTGAGTTTATTGGATTTTATGCTTTTAAAAGAATCACTTGGTTTGTCGAGATGGCAACGATCGCTTTTCATTTTGATGAATCGAAAAAAAAAAATCGCTTACTAAATCAATTATATTTTACTAAATATCATGGCCCAAATCACGATAAATTGACAATATCATAATATCACATGATTTTTGAAACTTTTTTGGGTGGTGATTTTACCCCGTCTGTTATAGCTGTTTTCATAAATTCTGGGGCACCTGATTCGATTAAGTTTATAATTCCGGCATATTAAAATTGAAAATCCGGTGATAATGTAAATATTACAAGACTTTAGTACGCGTAGTATGTATATATATATATCTAGTTGAACAGAAATATGATACCTCAAAGCATCTTCGCTGGCAAATACAGTAATTGAAAAAAAATTTAGAAAGCTTATCAATTCAAAAAATTACGAAACACTTAGGAGTTAGCATGCCTTCTAAAGTCGCATTTTCAAAGATATGGATATATTGGAAACTTCCGTCCTTTTACCAGGTGTTCCCGAATTTATAAAAGCAGCTGTAATCTGGTATTTCCTGAATAAAAAATGAACGAACTCAAATCACGAGCAATGTGAGAAATTTTTTAATACAAAATCATTTAAATATTTGGAATACAGGCTGCATAGTGGCTGCTCTATACCAGTTACATCAACTTTTAAGGGTTACCTTAAAAACTTTATGATTTCCGTTTGACCGGCGTCACATACTTGACCCGCCCGGTCGGTGTTTTCTGGCCCGGGTCAAAGCTCTACATAAGACCTGTACGATAACTATAAATTTCAAAACTACGTTCTTATAATCGTGCTCTTTGTTCACGTAATTTTGTGACGCAGTTATTACTGAATTTTGGTGATTCTCTTTTACTCTGTGATATGAATAAACCTGACTACGAAATTACTTGACCTCAATTAATTTATTGATGGCGCAGCCACAAAATAATCAATTAATGGCAATTGTGCAAAATGCGATGACTTGATAAAATATGTAATAATGGACATAAGTATATTAAATGAATATTAAAGAAATCCCTTATACGTGATTTAAAATTAATTGACATTAATTAGTTTCAATTAAATTACTTTTTAAAATTTAATTGCAATTAATTTTTCTGTACCCCTGCTTTTTATTCACGGGCTAAAATCGAATTAATTATCGTTTATAATTAATTTAAGCAGGTGATGATGTTATGGGTACTGCCGTTCGGTCTGTCGCAAGC